TATTCTTTCACCATCTATACACATTGAGGCCCTTCTTTTAGGTGAAAATGATCTATCTTAAATTTGTCTTTCTTGAGTTTGGGACTATTATGTGTTTAAATAACTTAAAAGGATAAAACTAAAAAAAACCCCTAAAAAATGCGCTCCAAGCGCGCAAAATATTTTTGTGTTTTCAATTCTAATTTTGTCGGAATTGATGAAAACTCCCTAAAATGTGCAATTTATAGAGGAAATTGGCCTACCGTAACAAGAAATGCGCGCAAAATATTTGAGATTTTTAGGCACTTTCAGAGGATGCATTTGTCTTATCTTATTTATAATATAGGTCACACATGTGTGTTTGAAACTAAATATACCGTAAGCATTTTCATCATGGTTTTATTTATTACAAACATATTCTTTCACCATCTATACACATTGAGGCCCTTCTTTTAGGTTAAAATGATCTATCTTAAATTTGTCTTTCTTGAGTTTGGGACTATTATGTGTTTAAATAACTTAAAAAGGAAAAAACTAAAAAATGCGCGCCGAGCGCGCAAAACATTTTTGTGTTTTTAATTCTAATTTCGTCGGAATTGATGAAAACTCCATAAAATGTGCAATTTATAGGGGAAATTGGCCTACCGTAACAAGAAATGCGCGCAAAGAAATTTGAGAATTTTAGGCACTTTCAGAGGATACATTGAAGTGGAGAAGGGGTTGCAGGGTGTTGTGAATCTGGTCATTTTGATATCTTCCTTTTTATTCTTGACTTTATTTTTCTCTTCTCTTTTTCTTTCCTTTTCTTTTCTTCTTCTTTCTCTTTCCCTCCCTTTTTCTTTTCTCTTATTACCCAGCCCGGTACGATGGCTTGGGCAGCCCGGTAAAACCCGTCAGGGGAGGGGCAGTTTCCCCCCCCCCCCCCGTTTCCCCCCCCCCCCTCCACGCCTGTTACGACACTGGTTAACACGCCAATCATCCCAACCCTCCCAATGAAAAATATTTTTCTACGCCACTGCCGTCTTCGCATAGTCGCCGGAGAAATTGATTACGCTGAACAAGCGCCTGTATACAATACAGTCAATGGTGTTTGGAAGGCTTGATTCTATTGGTTTCCAAAGTGACGGAGCTAAATATTGACTTATCACAATTACCATTTTTACAACAAGTATGGTAGAAAGACTAAAGATCAACTTACAGAGAGAAAGAAACCGATTGGTCAAATACTTTGCGGGTTATTCTGATTCAAATTTGGTAACATAAGCCGATTGAAGGTAAAAAATCTGCTTTCTACACTGGAAATCCAATCTGCCCCACCATGACAATAGGAAGCAACTGATGTTTACATTGCTTTGAGTAATCAAGGAATATGGAGCATGTTGGTTTTGTACCCTGCTTCCTTTTCTGTTTTTTTTTAACTGTATTTTTAGTCTCTTACTTCCTTTTTATGTTGCTAATTACTTGTTAATTATTGCGATTTGAACATACTCAAATATATCAATATGTTCCAAATTATTAGTTCTTTGATAGTAACTAAAAAACTCGTTTTGAAAAATGGTCAATTACTTCCTTTTGTCATGGTGGGACAGCAATGTTGTTGCCTCTTTTAATCGAAAGTGACAGGATAAAATATATCATTAGAAAGATGAAAGATAGATCTTTTATTTAAAAAAAAGGAGGAAATTGATCTGATGAGCAGTTCCAAAGTTATGGTAGAAAAGGCTGTAATAAAAAAGGGTGTTTTCAGGTTCTTTTTTTTAGAGCGGTTTTATCAATTTATGCCAGCGCGCTACTAAAGAGCGCGTACACATCTACATGCGTGTTAAGCCAAATTTAATGAGAAAGATCAACAAATCGTTTTGCAGAGCTATCTTCCAAATCGTCGAGATGGAAATTAAAATCACCATTTATCTGTAACTTTGTAGCGATTGCAGGATATTGTTCTCAAATAATGAACCAAATTCAGATAAAAATTGTGAGACAGAAGTTGATTCTTCAAACTTGGTGGGGAGGGGGTGGCGATACAATGTAAAAAGTTTCAAGTTGATGATCATCAAGAAAAATAGTCTCAACGGCCTCAAATGATTGGATCCTGAGAACAGGTTTCGAAGACATGATCCTTAATTGATCGTTGGTAAAGAATTGCATTGCTTCCATGGGCAGCCTTTGGGAGAATGAAGTACGAGCTTTTCCTTGGAGCTGAATGAAGGTAAATGAACTAAATGCAGTATAGGCGTTCCATAATTGATGGCTTGCGCATGAACGCAAATAATAATATCCGCGGCTAGCTATCATCGGTCTAGCGACCGACGCCGCCGAGACGTTCACCTTGCACCGCCGGTGTCTGACAACCGACTCTACGAAAATACTGTATAGCGAAGATGATACACATGCAATCAGTGATTCGGCGTAGCCTTTCTTCTACTACGCCAGCTGTTGGGAAATTAAACAACTTTTTTGAATTTTCAGCCAAATTAATAAATGGAGAGGAAGTCAACTTCTCAAGGTACTGTGCCTAGGGCCCTAGGCCCTAGAAGAGATAGCCTAGCTAGGCTAGCCTAGGTCTCTCGGTAGGCTTTGGTAGGAGCCTAGAAAAGCCTAGCTAGGCCTGGGATAGCCCCCTAGCGCCTAGGCCATTGAGGGGAACCAGTCAACTCGCCCCTATCAAAGTCGCCCCTTACAAACTCTTTCCCCTATCAAACTCGCCCCTTGGTTGATTTATCAGTGTGTGTTTACACCTGTCTCTTATACACATCTAGATGTGTATAAGAGACAGGTCGCCCTCTCTACAAACTCGCCCCCTATCAAACTTGCCTCCTAACAAACTCGTCCCCTAACGAATTCGCTTTCGAACAAACTCGCCCCCTAAGAACTCATCCCCCTAACAAACTCGCCCCTAACAAACTCGCCCATAACCTTTCGGTTACCGCGCCGCAGGTTGGTTTTAGTCATAGAGCTATATACCTCTATGGTTTTAGTATAACTCTCTACCGCCCTCTATCAATATAAATCAAAATATCGCTAGTAGTAGGCTTATACCGGTATCTTTTTTAATGATACAAACAAGTGTAAAATCGAGATGTTTATTTCGTCATAAGTAAAACAAATACGGTATTTTCTTAATATACTGGCCCAAGATAGATTGAAATTGATTTAAAAATTTGTAGGAATACACGCAGGGCCGGATCCAGCATAGCTGGCGGAAAGAGAGGGTGTGTGTGATGTACGAACTATAAGTGAGATTCTCAGGGAAAAATCTAGTGGGGTGCAAGGAGAAACTCTCCCATAACCCTGTAGCACCTTCATTAATTTTAGTCTGTATTTGATTACTATGTAGCATGGTAATTTTTTGATAAGCTTTACAAAAACACTTCTGGTTATGGGCGAGTTTGTTGGGGGGGGGGAGGGCGAGTTTGATCGAAAGCGAATTCGTTAGGGGAAAGTTTGTTAGGAGGCGAGTTTGATAGGGGGCTACTGTGTTGTGTAAGGGTGGGGGGGCGAGTTTGTCAAGGGATGGAAGAAGACTTATATTCAGTGGGGTCCTTCTAGTGGTGATTGGGCAGTACACCGGGAGATAATCCCCTACTTTTTTCCGAAGAGTGTACTGCGTTTTTTAACGTGCACATGGGCCATAATGCACACGGGACCAACGGCTTAAACGTCTCATCCGAAAGACGGTGCGCTATTGTATCTTGTATTTCAGCACTCTATCTGAAACACAAGGAGAGGCAGCGATGGGATTTGAACCGGGGACCTAGAGATCTCCACGGTTCAGTGCAAACACAGCGGCTACCACCAGATTAGCCGACTGAGCTAAGCTGCTCTCTCTATCGCGATTTAGTAAAACACATGAGATGCAAAAAAATCGGATGCAATGTATCAGAATAGTGAAATTCAGTGCAATAAAAGTGACGACGTCACCACTGACTTAGTGATTAGTGATATACTGTAGTTAAAAAAAAAAATAGATTCTTACAACCACGACTGTCTATACTATGCTAATAAACACTAATAACTGATTATTCATGAACATGGTTAAGTAAAATTGATCTAGCCTTAATCCGATTAAATTATTTTTTATCTTGCATAGATTCAAGGGTAAAGTTGTGTTGGTAGAAAATACAGCCACCCTCTGAGGTACAACCACCAGGGACTTCACCCAGATGAATGACCTTGTCAAAAAATTTCAAGATAAGCTTATTGTACTGGGATTTCCCTGCAACCAGTTTGGCCATCAGGTACTGTTGAATCGTTAGTTAATAATTACAATAATTACATGAAGTGGACACTGGCAGGCCACCAATGTCTAACCAGTGGTTGTTTTAGGATGTATTTTTTTTTGGGGGGGGGCTTAAGCTGTCCGACAGAACTTGAGCTCATTGGCCTGAGCTAGGGAAAGGGTTTGAGAGGGGTCACCCCTCCCAAACAAGATTTTTTTGTTAAATAGCAACCTCTGGATGGCCAGAAATGGCACTTTCAGACTGACAGACATGTGTTGGCTTGGTGTGGGCCTGTTTTTTTTTTGTTTTTTTTGTTAGACTACTGTTGGTCAAATTTTCTTGTCCTGACACAACATTTGCCTCTCTTCACTCGGGAAATAATATGCCTGGGTGTGTTCATTTAAAAATTTGTCTTTTCTGAATTAATGAGTGGGAGTGAAGGGGGTTGCTTACTGTATTGTGTGACTATATTTCAATATGGTATTACAATAACACATTCTGATAGATTTTGTTAAGATTAACTTATTGAACTTATTGTAATGAACATACTGCATATTACAGCTACAGTATTAAAAAGTATACAGATGTCATTGATTATGCCAGAATCACATAATAATATTTTCCTGTTCCTAGGAAAACTGTTCTGAAAAAGAGATACCGAATATTCTTAAATATGTCCGTCCAGGCAATGGTTATGAAGCACAGTGAGTATTTCAACCAATGTAGTTTAAAGGAAAGAAAATTCTAATATAATCTAAAAATATATTTTTGCATGTTTTACCATTTTCACTAGTTGTATTATTGGTATATTTTGTATACTATTGTTAATTTTTTGGAAGCAGTTTGTATTCACTATTTTATTGTAATAGAAGTTGTATTGAAATTGTTGACAATACAGTACTTGAGACTAAAAACTAACTTTGAATTTATCTTGTAGATTCCCCTTGTTTTCTAAAGTAGCCGTGAATGGCAAGAACGCTCACCCAGTTTTTCAATACCTAAAGGAGTGCCTTCCCTTCCCGACTGACAATACAACAAATTTAATGGATGACCCAAAGTCAATTATCTGGAGTCCAGTAAAACGCAACGACATCTCTTGGAATTTTGAAAAGTTCTTGATCGACCAGCACGGTGTTCCCTTTAAACGTTATAGCCCAAGATTCCAAACTAAGGACATTGATGATGATATTAAGAGACTTTTGAAAGCATAGCTAAGGTCTCTGATAAAATAATGATGAAATAAGCTATAAATAGCATTTTTTGGAAGCCATTATCACTTTTAGCATATTCTTGTAATGTGATGACGACATGGTCTGAAACTTCCGAAGTAGATCATGTCCGATGGATTTTTACATGATGTGTTTTGATGATGGCTTCTAAATAAAAAAAAATAAATAAAATTTATAAAATACCATAATTAATTATCAACTACACACCTGTAATATCAATAAAAATTGGAAAATATATATACTGTATGAAAATTTGAATGTTTTATTTTTCCAGATTAAATACATTAAATTTAGATAGTACACTATATACAAATACACACACATTCATATTGTTTCAACAATATGAAGCCTCCATCCACGATTGAAAATAAATATATAACTCATTTTCTAACACACCTAAATAGGTCCCTGTCATTTGATTAGTGGATTTTGTATCATGTCATTGGTTATTTACCCCATGGAAATTTATTTCCATTTGTTTTTGCCCATTGCTAAAGAAAAGATATGACTTTAACCTCTTAATACAATCTTTGTTATAAAAATATGTGGGAATGTTCCATTTTAGAAAAAAGGTAGATTTTTGAATAAAATATCAAATGACAAGAATCTATTTTAGGTGTGATATACAACAAATAATGAAAGATTGACTGTTCCATTGGACTCATAAACATTCAATATTTGTAAACTAATTTCAAACATCACTTTTTTGGTAATACAGTATTCAATGTTCCCTCTAACTGGATCAAGATAAAACAACCGTAACTTTGTACAAGTAACGTTGATTGATGTGTTAGAGTGGTGCTGAGAGTTTGTGACCTTCCTTCCGATTCTGACAAAAAAAAACAATAAGAGGCTCCACTCATGCCCTAAATGTGTCCAACATGCAAACGTCATTGTGAAACTAATGACAACATAGTTTCTATAGCCGATTTTTGATTTGCAGAAAAGATAATATTGGTCTATAATTACAGCCCGGTATGTACTGCAAACCACAATTATAGCCAGCTAAACTTTAAGATAACCAATAGATTGCTTATAGCAATCCATCCCAGATGTTGCCTAGAGTGTTGCCTTCATATTTCTTCCTCAAAATGATCTTGGTGTTGGTTATTCTCTGCCATCAGTACTTCACGATTTTCATAAGTCCAGAAGCCATTCAAATCAATCAGTATACTGCTAACTGTTTCACCCTGAGAGCTAAGAAATATGATTGAAATATATTTATTTTATTAAAATATAGAAAAAAAAACAAAACCCAAACATTCCTTCCAAAAATTATAAAGCAATATAGTTTTACTATCAGATTGAGAAATTATTTGTCCTCACAAAAACTTGTAAGGGGCGTAATTGCTCATATTGAAACCTAGATTTACATGCCATACACAATTAAAAATATTCATACTAAATGCATAACAATTTAACGATTAAAAATAATATATACATTTGTACTGGCTTACATGAGTTGAACTTTTATGCATGAGTTGTATATAAATAATGTCAATTGTTGAAGTAAGGTTTATGGATAAACTGACTAGAGACGCTTTTTTGCAGCTATCATCATAGGCACGAATGGAGTAGGGAATAAATGATTTGAAATTAGTTTGTTCTAAAATAGCCAGTTATACTTGTGATATAGATGGTGCATTCCTTCCTTAAGATACAAACTGTCATTTAGATCTGTGTCAGGCTTATATATCTTTAGGTGTACTGTATATATATTGTATATAACCATGAAATACTCGCACTAATGGTGGAAACATAACGTTACAGCTAGGGTGAGACTTTTTATTCCTTGTTTTGCATTCTTATATTTTTAAAGATTATCGCAGGAGGGCAGAATAAAAATAAAAATAACAATTTTGTTTTGCCAAAATCATCCAGATGGGGGAGAAAATAAAAAAATTTTATTTTATTTCATTTTTTTTATTTTATTTTTATTTTATTTTATAGGATTGTTAAATGCTTCAAATTTATATAATTAGGAAAAAAATATACATATCTTATCTTTGGAGATTTCAAGGCAGCAGAAGGTTTAATAAAAATAAAGAATAACTTTTATTTTCTTCTGAAATTTCTAATTTTTTGTCCAAAAACAAATTTTTTTTATTCGAAATCAATATCTGCAGTCGGCGGGTTTGCTAAACAAGGTATAAAAAGTTTTGCCTAGCCAACATTGCAGGACGAGAATGTTCTCAACTATGAACTCTCAACTCTCAACTATGAATTTCAGAACTGAATACCAATCACTATGCAGGGGTCCCAAATTGGAAGACGTTACTACTGTAAGATCTAACTAATTAAATGAGCTTCCTTGACACCACTATTAAACAGCATTTTACAGCACATAGTGATACTCATTGACACTAACTTTCATGAGACAATTGATGATATTAAAAGCAGTGAAAACTTGCAAATACAGTATTGTAAATTTGCTGAAGATGACTCATCTTCCGGGAGATTCATGCTTGCTTGTAGGAAGCACTCACAATTTCTGGGAGACTTGTGCAAGTTGCAGGAGACTTTGGTCCCCAGGCTATGCGACATCCCCCTCCCCAAAACAGGCAGTATATTCCTAATGGTAAAACAATTTGAAACCTAAATCTAGGGGAATGTAGAAATGAATGCAAAAAAATTAATGAGAAATCGACCTTATACCTTTGTATTAGATCCTGTAGAGTTATCCTGAGGGGGTCAGCAGGTTTCACCATGTCAAATATTTCATCCTTCACATCTTCAAATGAAACAGGTTCTTGGCCGTGTTGTCTCATCTGGTCCTGGATTGCCTGGTTAGAAAATATATTAATTGCAATAGTGAACATTTTTATGTTGTTTTGCATCAGGAAATTCTGTAGAAGTGATTTTCTATTACCATTCAAATCACTTGCGATATTTGTTTTTAGCAATTGCATTTGGTAACGTACTCAGTATTCAGTATGATTACACGTCAGGTAGGGAATATCCCGACTCATAAAAAAAATTATCAAAATAGCATTGTAGTACCCGCTGCCTCTTGGGGATCGGAACCAACACTACTCACTAAACGCAGGCTAATTATTGGGAGGTTGTGGGTTTGATTCTCATGATGGAATTGGTAGTAAATTACCACTATTGCTACCTATCGCAATTCTCAGGCACATTCTGATACAATAAACAATACAATGGCAACATTGTAAACAACTCGACTGACATATGATGACTGATTTTAGCCAATCAGTGTCTGAATTTTTTTGTGATCAGATTCCGTTTTGATTGGGGAAAAAAAAAGATTGTAGCACCCATTCGGAATGGTATCAATTCAGATTTTAATACTACTGTGGTAAGCTTTCACACAAAATTTTGGATTGAGATTGGTATAGCACCTACAATCAATCACAAATATAGATACCAATTATGGTGACACAGTGATTTGTGCTCTAATTGCTGAACTTGAACAACTAAACTGTAATATAATATAATATAGTATCTAAATGGTTTGTACCACTTTTATAAAAAGTTTATTCATAACCTTGTGAATATCAAACTTAATGTAGACACCATGATTTGAATTAGTATTGTAAACACAACCTACCCTAAAGAAATAGTTGAGCGCAAAAATGTTCAAGTAACCTCTGCCCTGCACGTCAAGAAGACGAAAGAAATACTGGATGGATTGCGGGTCTTTACGATTCTCCATTGCGAGCACAAAATCCAAGTATGTTTTGTAGTCCTGAAAAAAAAAAAAACAGCATTAAAGAGAGTAATTTCAACATTGCCCGCAAACCTTAACAATAATTGCTTAATAATTTTCCAAAACAACACAACAGTTCGTATCTTCATCTTAGGCGAAGCCTAATCTTAATTACGAATTTCATATAAAAATTAGTTCATTCATATAATAATTATAGTAACATGTTTTTGTGTCAAAATATATTAAATTAAGAAATTACATTGATTTCTGTACCCATTTTAAAGATGTACTGTCAGTCAAAAAGACAGGAAAATACCTCCAAAATTTAAATAAAGTTTTAAATAGCTTGGTGCAAGGTTGTATTATACACACTCCAAGTATCAAAATGCATGCCATATTTCAACATTAATTATGTCATCAGGATGATTAATGTCATCATCCTGATGATGGCATAATTAATGTTGAAATATTGAATCCCGACATAATGACGTTCATTTCGATATGTGAAGTATGAATTATACTATCTTATCTGAGGTTAGTCAGTGGACCTTTCGGTTATTGCAAGGATTAAACAAATTATTAGCTTCCAATGAGAAATAATAATAATAATAATAAAAAAAAAAGTAGTTTTCACCAATTTACAGACATTTTACTAAAAGATCCTTATTGATCACCAGCCAATTTAAGGATCATTGCAAATGTAAACAGTAATTCTTTATAACTGTCTCAAAATTAAAAGGAAAATTTTTTTCTCATTCACAGTTAATAATTTACTTTAAAAATTAAACAACTCAAATGTCAAATTAAAATTTTGCTATTTTTTTACCTCATGACTTATATCAATTTAAACATTTTTCTTACCATTTCACCATCGTATGTTAGGCATTCTTGAAAGACCCGCTCGAGAAATACAGGTGTGAGTGTTCCTGTGCCATACCTGGCTAGTTCGTCTTTACTTAGCATGCCATTGTGGTCCTTATCAAGATTTAAGTACTGACCTAAAAAAATACACCATGTCATGTCTTGTAATAAATCAATCAATCAATCAATCAATCAATAAATAAATTGGCCAATTTAACAAAAATAATATTATCTCTACCAAAAACCATCCCAGTATTTCTGCCCAAGTGTTTCAGGGCCATCACCTATGATAAAGTCAGATTATATTTATTCAGTTGATTTTTAAAACTAAGGCGAGAAAAAACTATCAAATTGATACAAGCAATGCATCCAGACAGGCCTGGCACAAAAAAAAAAAAAAAAAACATCCAGACAGGCCTGGCAAAAAAAAAAAAAAAAAAAAAAATTTTCAAGCTCTAATTCCATAATTATACCTGCAATCTTTTAAAAAAGCATTTAAAATAAAAGGCTGTTGTAAAATATCCATGCCATTGAAAGCTTTTTCACCTACGATACTAGTGCCTAGGCCTGCTCTCAGCAGCTCTAAATAATTATATCTATTTTAGGCTGAAGGAGCCTTAACCAATTTGTAGCGCATCATCAGAAAGTGTCATTTACCATACACTTACAAGGCTGAGGGAGTCGAGAACTGATTTGTAGTGTATCTATGTGTCACTTACCATAAACTCTCAAGGCTGAGGGAGCTGAGAACCAGTTAGTTTCTTGGGCTTCCTTTGGTAAATCTTCATCTCTTAGTTCCAACAAATCATCTAAGAAACTACAAGCTAATATGTCTTGGATTTTTATTTTGCCTGAAAGCAAGGAAATACAACCATAAATCAACCTATTATAGTGTACCATAATGTAATGTGGGGGTGACACATGGACTCCAGTGGGGCTGCCATTGAGTAATGCTATTATTAAAGGAGGAAAGCACAAGGGTGGTGCCAGTGAGAGGTCCAGGGGGGAACAGGACCCTCATCTGGACCCCCTGTTGGGAAAGCTATCAATTGTTTCATCAGGGAGCACTACTTTAATTAATAATACTTTACAGCCTAAAAGTGCCATTTCATACCTGTTCTCAAAAAATTTGACTGTTGGGAACTTTAACCTTAGTCAGGGAATTTTTTACGTCACCACTGAACTAAAATAGTAATGAGCAGACTGACTACCTACCTGTATGAAGAGGATCCAAGAAGAAAAAGAACTTCCTGACTGCTGTACACACATAGAATGAGTAAAATGATTTCTCTAAGCAGTCTAGCTGAGGTAGTGTAGGTATCAACTCTAGTATATAATTTTCAAGATCCTGATTTAAAAAATGAAAACATGAATAAAGCTTATTCAAATCAGTATTCAATTACTATACTATTTACAAAAAAAAAATGTGGATTAGTGTTAAGATAATAATAATAATATGTTAAACTTATATAGCGCTTAACGCCAACAAGGTCTCTAAGCGCTTCACATTTGAATTAAACGCCTATGGAACACAAACTCGAGCTCCCGGGGGAGTATTCCATAAAGTTGCAGCAACTACATCAGCGCATTTTGCCATTTAATCCTACCAGCTACCCATTTATATTCCTGGGTGGAGAGAAGCAAATGCAGATAAAGTGCCTCGCTCAAGGACACAAGTGAAATGTACAGCAAGGGGATTGAACCACTGACCTAGAGGATGTTAGCATCCAATCCCAAATTGATCAGTTTCAAACTCATAAGATGATAAGAGTACTTAAGAGTAGTTAAGCATAGTTTAAGTTAGTCACGACAGTCCTAGGTATGACATTAAACTTCATCCAGTCGAGCCGTCGGCGACTAAACTGAAAAACCCCCTCAGATGCGTCTTAGTGGCTGTTGAGGGAAGGGTGTTTATGGTCACCCAGCAGCAGAATAATAATAATTATTATTATTAATATTATTATTATTATTATTATTATTAATAATATTAATATTATTATTATTATTATTATTATTATCTTTCTTATAACCAAGAATAACTGCATTCCTAAAGCTTTGTTTGGATTGATACCTCATCAGTTCAAACAGCCTGCTAAAAATTCTCCCTTGTAAAATTAGCCAAGTCATGAAGCGAGTCACATCAAGACTAACCAGGCTTTTTATCAAGCAGAAACAGATAGGGCGTGGTATTGTGCACAAGTAATAATTTATTCCTGCAATTTGTGTGGCAAAATTACAAGTGTAGGCTGTTGTAAACCTGGTCTGTAATGAAAAGTATTTAGCCAAGATATTGGTTGAAAATACTGCACATTTGAATCTTGTCCTGGTTTCCCCCACACAAGGTTTTGTAATATTCTTGAAAATGTTTCTACTTTACTTTATTTACTTCATATAATATTCAACATTTAAAGATTAAAGATAAGTGTTTATAGTATAATCTTAACTTTGGTCTCAAATTAGAATAAAAATGTATTTGTTTATTTGGGACCACAGAAAAGTGGTTTTTATTTGGACGAGGGGTCTTCAGCTACAGAGAGACCTGTATTTTAAAAATTAGATTTTGTTTTAATTTGGTAGACACTGGTAGTACAGTATATAGTAAGAAGTATTAAATTAGACTTCATCCAATTATTTACGCCAATGAAAATGTACGTATACATGCTAAGATGGATGTGGGGGGTGGGGGAACCTGCAAATCTCACCCCCCCCCAACCTTATACATTGTATTAAGAAAAAAAAACTGCACAATTTGTATGCACCTAGAAGTTCATATTCCCAAACCTTCCTCACCTCAGCCCCAAACATGGTGCAGCTCAGGTGGTGTGGACTCTCACGCACCCGTACCTCAAAAACCTGCATCCACCCAGGTGTGGGTACGAATTGACATGGGTACGAGTTAGCCGACACCCAAATAATTGGTGATCCAAGTAAAAATCTCTTTTTACACACAATAATTCCATTCTAATGAAGATTAATGCGGGACGGGATTACTTACAGATTCCTTGAGGTACCCTTGTCCGGAGACATCATAGAGGCTGAGTCCGATGCGTGTCTGGTGTAACCATACCTTACGCATGACATAGTTGAAGAACTGCATGATGGATATTCTGCCGTACGGGTCGTTCTGAAGCAACTTAGCGAAGACCATGGCAGTGAAGAATGGTCTGATGATGTGGCAAGTGAGAAAGCGATGTATTTTATTAATAATATTAATATTAATATTATTATTTCTATATATTATTAGTCTCTATACCATATTATATGCAATTATAATGCATATTTTTAAACCCTACATATTTTCACCAAAATCCAACAGCAACACCCATAATAGGATGTGACATAACAATTACATAATTATTCTTGTACAGTGGCTGTAATTATTATAATAGTCTTTTTTTTTGTACAGTAATTTAAATTGTATTCTGTTTGGTGGGAAAGTTTGTACATACAATGCTGCAATTCAGCTTCGGTTGCCACTGATTGTAAAGAATGAATAAAAGAATTTGAATTTGAAGTAGAATTTGAATAAATAATGAATTCTAGAAACTATCCTTTATTCAGACAATAAATTTGTTCCTTACTTGCACTTTGGTCCAGCTTCCAGAGAAACTTTTAAGAAATCTTCATAATTTACCATCTGGTCTTCTCCAACCATTGGAGGTGTGTGATGTTTATCCAAAAGAAACCAAAGATTCTAAAACAAAATAAGAGAGAAATTTAGGCATATTTTTTTTCTTAAATTTTATTTATTTATTTATTTAAAAATTTTATTTATTGATATATTTTTTAATTCATTTATTTATTATTTAGTTATTTTAATGATTTATTATTTATTTATTTTTAAATTGTATTCATAATGAATTACATAATGTCTTTCATGCAATTTTGGTCTCTGTTATTTTCTTCTGCTTTGTTTTGGTGTTTTTCCTTGAGACGTGAGAAAAAAAAACCCCAAAAAACAAAACAAAACAAAAAACATCCCTCCATACCATGAAAATTGGATGCCAAAAATTTTGTATATGGCCTAATGAACATTGAAGCCATTTTTCATTTGAACACCCCCTTTAAAACAATTGTGGGATACTATAAGTAACTTACCTGTAACTCTTCATTGTCCAGCAACTCTCTGCTGCGCCTTTGAAGGAAGACAGCCCTGGAATATTATACAATTTAATTAATATCTTCACCAAGAATAAATCAAATCAAATCAAAAATATCTTTATTGGCAACCACAGTATACAATGATTTAATTATACAATAAAATAGTCAAAAATTTAGAAGAATACATTAAAAAAAAGTTTACATGATCAATCAACAATTTTATATCTGTTTACATTAAAAAGGATTTCATTATCTGTATTTGTAAAAATATGCAAATTTACAAAAGCAATTTAATCACATTCAAAACACAAATACAACACATTTTACATCACAAAAAAGAAAATCACACACACAAAAAAAAACAAACAAACAAACACATAAATTATTATCGCTGAGAAGTATCATGTACTGGTAGTGAAGAAGAGTGAGCCTCGTTAAGAACCATCTACCAATTGTGAAACACCCCATAATTGATAATAAATTTGTTAGTCCTCTCAGTTATGACCATTGGTAAAGTAAATTGATTTTGTCTCCTTAAATTATATTGATGACTAGGGGGTGATGGAAGGAGATGGTTTAAACGGTGCTCACTCTTCTTGACCTTTTGGAAATATTTCTTACAAAGAGAAAGTAAACGGTGATTTAGCGGAGTTAGTCTAAGCACTTTTGAGTTTTGTTGCTGAAGAGTTAGTCAAGTAAACCAAAGTGGACATGCATATTCAATCACAGATCGGATAATACTACAGTAGAAATGACAAAGGGCATTCCTATCACGTCCACACTGGCATAATTGTTTTTTAAAAAAAGTCTGCTATTACATTAATTAAAAATACAATCAATATGTCCTTGCCAACTCAGATTGTCTTGAATGACAATACCTAACAGTTTAGTTTGCTCGACTCTCTGCAAGACAGAATCATTTATGTGGAGGGCAGGTAGATGGGTTTTATTGCGCTTACAACTAATAAGCATTTCCATTGTCTTCTTATCATTGATTTGCATGTTATTTGACCAATTATGAATGTCATTAATAACTGTCTGGAGTTCGCTCTGGCGATGTTTATTGATCCGTTCAGTTATAGTTGTGTCATTCATATATTTAATTATGGGGAGATGCATTATCAGATCATTATTAAAAATAATAAAGAGAACAGGGCCAACCCAGGAGCCTTGAGGGACCCCACCTTTAGGTGTCATCCATGAGGAAAGACATTCATCCACTTTGACTCGTTGTAGTCTCTTTTGTAAAAAGACTTCAATCCATTCAATTAGAATTTCGCTGAACATTCATCCTGCGCAGTTTGTCTAAAAGAACATAATGGTCTACACCTTTTTATAATCTAGCAGTAGAACCCTTGATTCGTCTCCTGTATCAGCATTAGCAAAGGGATTACTCATCAAGGAGACAAGGGCATCAACCGATGACAGCCCGTAAGTACATTCAAACTGTTGCAAATCAATTTTATTACAAATTTCGTCCTTTGCCAATGATGCTTTCAACTAACTTACTGCTTACAGATGTCAAAGAAATTGGTCTAAGATCTGATTCAATATGCATTGGTGAATTAAATAGGTATGGAAATTTAGCTGATTTGCATTCAGTTGGTACAATTGACTGACACAAACTAGAATTAGCTATCGCACACAGAGGTTGGGTCAAAATATTTGCAAATTCCTTTAGGATCCAGGGTGGATAATTATCCGGACCTGGCGCTTCGTTCACTTACTAATTTAGTATGAATAACTTCAGGGTTAATGATGAACTTATCTAGGATCTGAGGAAAAATTCCTTTCAGCAGCAAGAGGATGAAAATTGTCTGTGACAGACTGGAAAAACTGGTTGACTCTTTCTGCAAGTTCCTGCTTATTACCATTACATAAACTATTGGCAATATAATTTAGAGGATTATTGGATTTGCCTAGTTTAATAGACTTTTAGTCTTAGTCCACCAGGTTCTCATGTCAACTCGGTATAGCTGGGCAATCTCTTTCTTGTAATACTTATTCCTTAATTTTTTTGTCTCCCTGTTGACCTTATTTCTCAGCTTTCGGTACTCATCCATATTTATATTTTTAAATGCTATCTGTCTCCTGTAAATAATAGATTTATATGCGTTATTAATCCATGGTTTCTCAACATTCAGATGCACCACTTTAACCAGAGGGAAGTGTTTATCTACAAGAATTCTCAAATTTGATATATAAAAAGCATATTGTTCCACAAAGTTATCAATAGCATACATATTATGCCATTTCACTCCTGCAAGGTCTTCAGCGAAAGCTTCTTTAGAGAAACCATTAACCTTTCTCTTAGTAATAAAAGTCTTTAGCTTTTCGCTAAAGTTTTTGGTCTACATATAATCACATTGTGATCGGAGAGGCCAAGGGCTGGTTCAGAAAAAGGAGTATAATAGAAAGACACCATTGATGTATAAATCAAATCAAGGACAGCCTGTCCTCGTGTTGGAACCTTAAGTATCTGTTGTTGTGTAGTCGTAATGTGTTCTAGTTTAAATACAGTATATTTAAATCTGCATTAAATCAACACTGGTCTACACTTCCATGTAAATTTACTTTTTCACATTTATAAAGACAATACTACATATATTTCTCTTTCCTTTCTTCTTGCTTATTCCCCAACGGTACTGAAGAGTAGAAATTTTTGATTTTTGTACTGGATGGGTCATTATAAGCCTAAAGCTTTCTAAACGACCCAGTACTTCAAGCAAGTATTCAAGCAAGGGGAAACGTCACCTAAAAGAGTTATGCTGTATCTGGGTATTTAGAGCGTAAAGTATCTAAATTATTGGCATTATGTTCACACATGTTAAAGTTATTGTTACCTGGCGAATGATAGATTACCGCTAAAGTAATTGAAGAGATGACTCTTTGTAGGCATTTCGGTCTCAAAGTTAGAAAAATGCTTTCATAGCTATCATCTTGAAAATCAGACCAGAATTTGAAAAGAATGTTTTCGCAAATATACACAATAACACATCCGCCAGCTCTGTCTAACCTATCGGCTCTAATTGAAGCATATCCGCTAATTTCAATTAGACAATTATCAATATGGGGTTTCAGGTGTGATTCAGTGATTGCTATTATATCAGGACAAGGCTGGTTAGCTCTTAGTCTTAACTCATCCATTTTGTTCATTATCGAGCATGAATTTGTAAGAAAAAAGTTATTTGTAAGAAAATATCCATCGGTTATCCAGCAATGTAATAAGATTATGACTATTAACTCCATCAGGCATAGTGTAGACCTAGCACGGCTCTCTGCACTCCAGGCACATGATGTTAGTCCGCGCCTAGGTCTTGTAGTAGGCCTTACCCCAATAAGCCCAGAACTTGATCTCAGTGTTGTGTGTACATTAATGCTTCTAACCTTCTTTTTCCCGCTCTACAACCTCTTGGTTTTGTTTTTGCAATTCCTAGCTCATTAATTATCAAAAAGAATTCTTTCCTTGGTTTTCGAATCAAGTGATTATTAAGCTTTTTGAGCATCCTTGTAGTGTAATATATGGCAGGATCAGGTGTACGTGCTTAGGCCAGACGCTAAATGTAGCTGCCTTTAACTGGAAGTGTGTAGTCCACGGGCATTAAGCTTCAGGTTGGTATTCACAGAAATGAGTAGTACAGGCTAGCAAATCATTGTTATATAACGATATCACTCAAAATAAGGAAACGAAGAAGGCCAACACATCAAAAAACACATTCACCAGACAGAAGAGAAGAAGAAAACCACAATTAAAAATTAGTTTACTGGGTTAACAATCGGACTGTTCATTCCGATGAACACGCGTATCAAAAAACTAAAAAAGAGATCAAAAAATGAATACTAAAATAATGATGATGATGATGTTGATGATGTAATAATAATAATTAGTAATCTAAGCAGAAAAGAATATTATAAATACTGTATAATACAGCACATATAAATAAAAAAAAGTTACATTTTAAATTGTAATGTAAAAAACACCTTTTGAAAGTGCAAAGTACACTAAGATAGTAATGTCACTTACCTAGATTCCTCTCTCAATTTCTGTAAAAGGGTCTCATCTTCACTCGGCAACTGCAAAAAGAAAATGAAAATAATTGAAGAGCTTACATTCAGGCTCCGGATAAAAAAAAAATTGATATGTTGTAGAACTGATATATCTATGACAGAAAGAATTTTTTGACCAAAAACTGTGGAGCGGTTAATGAGATACAAATTTTTGAATACTGTATTTAAAAACTGGGGGAAAAAGGTGTTAAGAAGAGTGGTTATACCCCTTCCCCTCCCCCCACCAATATCTCATTAACCATTTACCAGTTTTCCAACTCTTTTTTCTGACTTATAAATATCAGTTGTACAACATATGAAAAAATTGTTTTCTTCAAGGCTAAAAAAAAACAAACAATAATAATAATAATAAATGATAAAAATAATAATAAAATATATATGCAAAAGATCGCAAGCAAATCTCTTGATGGGGAAACACTTTAATGTAACTGTTGCATTTACCTTATAATAGAATCTTGGAATTGCAGCGTAGCTTGCGTCTTTCTCCTCCTTTGGTTGACCTTTGAACTTCAAGTACAAATCTTCAAAAGTTTTTTCGCATTTTTCTTCCTCCAACTTTTTTTCACTATCAGTTTTTTGAGCTAAATTAAATAAATTAGTTTTAGTATTTTCCAGGAAAATTTGAGTTAGACTTTGATGTGTCCTCTACATAAATTAGATACTTACATACAGCGAGGGTGGGCACAATTATGGGTCAGATGGTCAAAGTGAATTTTTAATTTAACACCGAGGGCAACACCCAGACATTGATGTTTCCAGTGCGCTTCCAAAAACCTTCACACACCGATTTTATACCATTTTACACTCAGTTTTAATATTACTTTTTACAAATAATCAGTGTTGAATGGAGCGTGTACTTTTCCTGGTTAACACAAATAAAGCCAAGACAACCGACCCAGGCAAGGACTAGAAAGGCATGCATACAGCGTGGTTATGAGATAAGGCAATTGACTGTTGACTGAAAATTAAAGGCAAATCTGAAATAATTAATAAATACATTTTAATTTCTACCAAATGTACACACATTTTGGCGAACTCTTACACACAATTTTGGCATATTTTAATAATTAGGCCTAGGCCTAAATAGTAGATAAAGCACATTTTTGCCTGTTATATATCTTCCTCCATTCTTGAACCCACCCAGGGTTTAACTCCGGGACACCCCTCCTTCTTGCCTACTACTACTAGGGTAGGCTTCATAGACCCTAAGTTAAGTAGTAGGCTAGGCCCCAGGCCTCTCTACAGGCCTAGCCTACTGTAGCCCCTAGACAGGCATAGTTAGGAGAGCTACTGTCTGTTTATAGTAAAATTAAGATAGGTACTAGTACCTATCTTATTCTTACTACTACTAGACCTACAGTACTACTAGGCCTACCGAATACAGATCATTTCGGTCGCACTTCGTTTCGGTCGCGCTTCGTTTCGGTCGCGCCTCACTTCAGTCGCGCTTCATTTCGGCAGGGTTAGCAAAGAAAATTAAAGATTTCAAATGAAGAATGATAATGTGTGTATTATTCGTTTATTTCTTTAATTGTGTTCCCTTCAATTCTCTTGAATTTATCCAAACTCTGGAAGCTGCAAGAAAAATAAATAAATGTATTGTATAAAAAGATTGGATTATATATTATAATGATTATTGTTTAAACTAAATTATGAAATAGATTTCAGATGGTAAAAACATTCAATTAAATTGAAATCAAAGATACATTTTATTGAATATAACTATTAAAGTATAGTATACAGCCCATGAAATTAGGAAAAAATTACGTCGGCAAAAAATTTGCCGACCTTAAATTGCCGTCATGTAGCAATTCTGGCTCGGCAATATGGTCGGCAATTGCCGACGTGAAACTCGTGGGCTGTAGTATATGAAAACGCAACGAAAAGAATATAGCATTCCATTGTTTCAATCATGTTTCAATCATGAATATATCACCGTAAATGGAAGAAAGAGAATATGTTAGTAGAAACTTGAAAGATAAAATTTTGTTAGTAGAAAGATAGCAAAACGGAAGTAAAAAAAAATACTTGTATGATAAACCGGGGAGTTGTTATAGTGACAAGTGAAAGTGTTTCAATCTTGCTTTAGATAAAAATCATCTAATATTATAGACATTATAAAATGATAGCTGGGTCATTCCGTGCCAACTCAACAAATTTTCAGAAAATCATGGCTGGGTACCGTCTCAGATTTTCTTGAAACTCGGATATACTGTAATGTGCACCAACATGAACAAACCCAAAATTTGACTTGCCAATTCCAAGTCGTTTAGAAGTTACGGCCATTTGAAATTTTAGGGTCATACCCCTTTTTAGCTCTCAATCATGACATATTTGTAAAGTTGCATTTTCAATAGCCATATCTTCAAATAGAACAAAGATAATTAACTGAAAATTGATATCTAGACTAACTTTTGGCTGTAGAACAGGAATATAACATGACTTTTTGTATACCAGACCCCGCTATGAAAATATTGGTTCGTAAAGACCCTAACTTATTTGGTTACGTAATTTTTCTTCCATTTTTAGACCCCATTAAAATACCAAAATCAGTTTATTAAATGGGTCTTATGCAACAAATTATTAATATAGGAAATGTTTCACCACAAAAAATTCCGGATTTTTAACTTATCATTTTAGGGGGTAATCGTAGGTCAAAAGTCATTTTGGACAAAAAATGCACAAAAATGCCTTGTTTTCATGGTGACCTTTGACCCTGTGGGCCAGTATGCTTGTTGTTAAAACTTGCACCATTTATTAATTGATATATGATGATCAGATGTTTTAAATATCAGCTTGGTGTCCTTATCCCTTCATGTTTAAAAAGCGATTTGAAAAGGGTTATATTTTTCAATTTGTGACAGTATCAGTGCGTTAGATGTAACAAAATTAATTTTTGAATAACGATAATATTAAAAATAATCTGCCTAGACCCTTGAAACTTATAATTCTGAAACAACTTTATGTGCTTATTTCAGGCATGTAGTTTGTTAAGGGATATAGTGTTTCATTAGTAAGATATGTCCCCCAAAAATGGCCCAAGTGCAGGAATTGCGCAATAAAATTGTATTACTGTTGATTTCAAATGAGCATAATATTATCCGTGTACTGTCTAGAGCCGTGAAACCTTTCATTCTAGGACAACTTTTTGCGTTGATTTCAGTTATGCAGTCTGTTATAGGGATAAATTGTTTAATTAGTAAGATATTATGCCCCAAAAATGGCCCAAGTGCAAGAATTGTGCAATAAAATTGTGTTACTATTGATTTCAAATAAGCATAATATTATCTGTGAACTGTCTAGAGCCATGAAACCTTTCATTCTAAGACAACTTTTTGTGCTGATTGCAGTAATGCAGTCTGTTAAATGGATGCATTGTTTAATTAGTAAGTTATTTTGCCCCAAAAATGGCCCAAGCGCAAGAATTGCATTTGTACGACTATTTTGATATTTAAAATGAGCATAACATTAACAGTGTACAGTTCAGAACCATTTAACCTTATATTCTAGTACACATTTGTAAACTTTTACTTCAAAGACAACCTTTAGTGCTTATTTCAGTCATGCACTCTGGTGGTAAGGGACACAATGTTTAATTATTATTAGATATTGGGCCCCCAAAAGTGGCTCTTGTGCGAGAATGGTGAAAAAGCACTGTTATTTCACAATTCTGGGGTCGGTACCAATATCTTACTAATTAAAGACTGTGTTCCTTAATACCAGACAATGTGACTGACATAAGCACAAAAGGTTTTCCTAGAACTAAAGGTTTTATGGCTATAGGCAGTAGTACACTGATAATATTGTGCTCATATTTAAAATATATGTTACTATGCAATTCTTGCACATGAGCCATTTTTTGGTGCAAAATATCATACTAACTAACCACTCTGTCCCTTAACAGACATCATGAATTAAATTAGTATACAAATATGTACTAGAATAAGATTTCATGGTCCTAAACAGTACACTGTTAATGTTATGCTCATTTGAAATAAATATCAATATATACAGTAGTCGCACAATGTTATTGCACAATTTTAGGAGGGACCATTATTCGAAAGGGGCGCTTATTCAAACGGGGCGCTTATTCGCACGAGTACGGCATACCCCTTTTCAAATCGTTTTTTAAACATGAAGGGATAAAGACACCAAGCTGATATTTGGAAGATCTGATCATCATATAAATTAATTAATGGTGCAAGTTTTAACAACAAGCGTACTTGCCCACAGGGTCAAAGGTCACCATGAAAACGAGGCATTTTTATGCATTTTTTGTCCCGAATGATCTTTTGACCTACGATTACCCTCTAAAATGATAAGTTAAAAATCCAGAATTTTTTGTGGTGAAACATTTCCAACTATATATTAATAATAAATTTGTTGCACAAGACCTATTTAATAACTGATTCGGATATTTTAATGGGGTCTAAAAATGGAAGAAAAATTACGCAACCAAATAAGTTAGGGTCCTTACGAACCAATATTTTCGTAATGGGGTCCAGTATACCAAAATTCATGTTATATTGTTGTTCATGTCCTCGCCTCCAACTGCGGTGCTGCGCTGTTGAAGCCGGTCTGTATGATAGTACATCAAAGGCCTTGTTATCGCTCGTAAATGGCCTTCGTAATTGGCGGTTCGTTTGTTCCTAATAGGTTTATTTTGCCTTTAGTCTACAATCGCTGTTTAGAGGCCAGCGTTGGATCTCCAGTCACTATAACAATTCCCTGGATAAACCGATTGACGAACTAATTATAATATCGGGCCTAACCCTAGGAATATCAAATTTTGCGTTTTCGCAAATCCTTCGGCGCTCCATATATTTATTTGAAATAAACCGCGACCGAAATGAGGCGCGACCGAAACGAAGCGCGACCGCAATGATCGGCTACCGTCCTACCTACAGTATCAGCAGTAGCCTAGTAGGCCTAGCCTACCTAACCGAATTACCACCTAACCTAGGCTAGGCCCTGGCCTACTACTAAATAGACCTGCTTGTTCGTCAGTCTGTAAGACCACGGTATGGAAATCGGCCAATGTTTTCTACCTGGCAGACTTGTACATAAGTAGAACTCGACAAATAATATCTAAAGATCACTTCCTCTACAGAGCGAAACATTACCTTACACAATTATGAGCCACTCAAAATATGGGCCTGCGTAGGCCTAGCATAGGGCCTAGGCCCCTAGGTATATTTTCTCTAAAAATTGTCTCAGTACTAAAACTCACCTTTTGAAGAATTATACGTTTTCAGTGATGTTACCCAGTCCATCATTATATAACATAACATTTTTAGGATTAATACATTATAAAATTGTCCTTCGTTTATTTTAGGTAATTATTATTCTCTGTCAGACGTTAATTTCACCAAGCGTTGGCTCAGCGCCACCAACATCGTAATAAAGTCGATCGTCACGTGACGAAAATGGTCGATCCCGTCCGATGATATTGCTAAAGACTATGTATTTCCATGAGCGTCGATCGGTGGGGAACAGGGGTAACAATTCCCTCCACCAATTTTCAAGGAACAGCATTTGATATCTTCATTGGCAACACATCCATACATTTGGACCAAGTAGAAGTATCAATTGTCTCCCACTTTTCACCTACCTTCTAATAGTTAAAACCTCACTATTTAAAGTGAGTGGACAGTCAAAACCACCTTTTCTGGTCGGCACCCCCCACCCCACCTAGATATCCAGAACGAGTCCTTAAACCCAACTAATGCAGCAGACCCACCCAGACGGAATGTTTTGTTGCCGACCTTTTTCAAACATAGGCCTATCTGCTTTAATAAAAAGGCCCATAAAATTAAACACCAACTCTGCTTCGTGGGATTCGCTGACGCACCGTAGCTTCGCACTTTGACCCCACACCCAAAGAACCCCATACATTTCGTATTTCAGAAACCACTCTCTTGATGTAAACGCTTACAGATGCTCAATTTACTGTGTAGTGAAAACAATCTCACTTGGCGTTAACATGGGAATCGTGTGACCTATTATTAAGTCAAGATTTTTACAACAATGAAGTGCGATATTCTGGACGTTTGAGGTAGTGACGATTGGTGGCGCTATAGATTAACGTAACGTCTCCTTGATCTCATGAATATTTATATAAGTTTCCTGCCGCTGTTTGCACGTCCAGGGTTTATGCCAAGGCTCGAGTACGACCGTATTTTACTATAATACTAGAAATTGCAAATTGCAAGTGAAGTGCTGCGAAGTACAACTCCATATAAATGTTCTTCGAACAAAATTATTTATGCGAGTCAAGTGAAAATAATGAATAATAAAACTATAACAAATAATATGAGACACGACCCATTGTCTATATTAGAACACTTCTCATTGGGTAACAAAGTCGTAATTTTTCATTTTTGTCAAAAAGTGTCTATAGAGTGTGGTGAATTATGGTTTAGGTTTTTTTAAATAAAGTTTCAAAAATGTATATGTATGTGGAAAATGTAGTTGATTACCAAAGGTTACAATTTTTATTTTGAAGACTGCATGGTCTAGGAAGTGTACATTATTTTATGGGGCAAGTTTCCAAGGGCGGGTTTTCTAGGGGCGAGTTGACTGCCAAAGAGTGTTGTCAAAGTGCGAGCCAGCGTGTTATTTGATCACAAGTGCGAGACATATCACAAGATCTTGGCTATTTTGTCTTGGTCTTGGGTTCTTGGATATTCCGTTCAAATCCTTGGGTATTTATTTTTTACTAAGAAAATTAAATATTTCTGTCATAGAGGAAGAACTAAGAAGTAACAAAGTATATTTCAGTCCATTCAAGTAAGCAAAACTCAACGAAGTGCACATAACATTGTTAATTGACTGTTAATTGCTATAAACATGGGTTCAGAATTGTTTATTTGTGATTTGTGTTGCCATTGATCTTACATAATTAACGCATTACATAATAAAACTTGATCACTGATCTACTGATAATACTGGCCGACTGAGGGCGTATTTTTCTATCTGTATTATCACCTCATGAATATTAATTTTAATAATTAACACAAACAATTACAATAAAAAATTGGTTTATAAATTGAACTAAAAGGGAGACTATACATGCGAAAAACACGTATTTTTTTAAATTTTAATGCATTTTCAGGAAGCTTGGGTAATTTTGGGCAATTTTTGCTGAATCTTGGGTAATTTCGACCCATACATTCGTATATCAAAAATTGTGAGTGGTCACACTGTTTGTGGAGTACAATTCAAAAAACAACTATAGTTCTAATAATGAATTATTGTGATGTTAAATAGACAATGTTAGCTATCAAAGAGCGACGTTGTTTTTCATTGGGACGTTCGTCTTCAAGGCTAGGCCTATACCATCCCAGCTAAGGCCTAGAGTAGGATAAGGCTAGCGCGACATGCGGACGTTGGTACGAGTAGGTTAGTCTACAAACGTCGCCTAAAGTAATTGATTTTACCCGGCAGAACGAAAGAAGGAAACTCCGCTTTTCAGTCGTCTTAGGCACTCGTTTTTTGAAAAACAATGACCTTTCAGAGGTCAAATTGCTGTCAAGAATGTGAATTGGCTGCTTCGCAGCAATTTTTGGGCATCATATGCAACACCGCGACTAGCCTTACTGTAGTAGACTCTTATAATGAAGAGTATAGGGTTGAACACCCACAGATTTAGGCCCTAAACCTCTGACGTGTACAACTTACACGAAAATATAAACCTACGTAAATACACAAAAATATAAACCTACGTAGGCCTAGATGTTTGCCCTACCTGACTTGGTATAATGTACTGATCATATAATGATAATAATGATGATAATAATAATAATAAATCAAACAAAAAATAAATATACCTATGTTCAGGGACGTAGCCAGGATTTTGAAAGGGGGGGGGGGGAGCCGTTATGCGAATTACGTATGACCCCGGCGGGGTCAAGGGGCGAATCCCCCTGTGAAGTAGCGCACTCTGAACGTTCTTAGGACTGTTTGAGAGGATAAAGTGAAAATTGCAATAGATGCATTATAAATAAGCGTAAAAATAATTATATAATAAATCAACAGTGGCAGATCCAGGAATTCGAAAGAGAGGTGAACCAGGGAGGGACTTTCACAGACCGAGGAACCACCCACCTCAGCCCCACCATGGTTGGGCATCTCTAAATGGCCGGAAATTACACTCTTGCACTTCAATTTGAATATATTCTTCTTTTTTTTTTCCTTAAAAAAATTAAGGGGTGGGGGGCCTTAAATCCACCTCTGCTCAAAACATTCTTTATCCAGAAAAGTCATAATCACGAAAAATGTACATGAAAAACCAGATCACATCCTAAAAACAAACAGCAGTCACTAAGACATACGTCAGGAGCCGACGACTCGATGGAGTTTAATATCATATCCAGGGAAGGACACAGATCTGTTTTGAAAGGTGGAGGGGGAGGGCATTTTGTGAGTCGACACCCACCTCAGCCCCACAATGGTTGGAGATGAGGTGAGAAAATTTGAGGAAATAGTACCTCTAGATGGCCAGAAATGACACTTTTAGTAAAATTCATCATCATCACATCACCAAAAAATGAGTCAAAATGAGGCGCCAAAAAAAATTTTCATGATCTTTTATCATGGATGTTTGACAACCATAGAGATCTTATTAATGTGTGTGTCTACCGGTATACCATAGAAAATAAAGCTTAAAAACATTGTCTTTGAGCATGTACTTTACATATGCTTACTTCAAAAACGTGATTTCACAGCCATGGTGGGGCTGAGGTGAGAAAATTTGAGGAAATAGTACCTCTCAAGATGGCCGGAAATGACACTTTTCTATAGTAAAATTCATCATCATCACATTACCATTATAGTCAAAATGAAACGCCAACAAATTTCTCATGATCTTTTATCAGGAATCTACTTAATATCCAGGAAAACTTAGGCCTAATTAGCTTACTAAGCTTTAACTATATATACTATAGTATGATCAACAAATCACAACTTTCTTTTTCGCATTTAGCACAATTTTCTTCACTTATTGCTATTAATATTATTATCAATTATTACCATCGTCATTATCATAATTGTTATTATTATTACTATTAGTAGTAGTATTATTAAAAAAACATGATCTTTTTATCAGGGATTTTTGACAACCATAGAGATCTTATTCTTATTAATATGTGTGTGATATACCATAGACAAAAACAGAAAAAATGCTTAAAAACATTGTCTTTGAGTATGTACTTTACATAGGGCTACTTCAAAAACATGATTTCACAACCACCTCAGCCCCACCATGGCTGGGGCTGAGGTAAGAAAATTTGAGGAAATAGTACCTCTCGAGATGGCCGGAAATGACACTTTTATATATATTAAAATTCATCATCATCATATTACCATTATAGTCAAAATGAAATGCCAACAAATTTCTTATGATCTTTTATCAGGGATCTACTTAATCTCCGAGCCTAATTATAGCTTACTAATATACTATATTATGATCAACAAATCACAATTTTTTTTCGCATTTAGCACGATTTTCTTCACTTTTTATTGTTATTAATATTAATATCAATTATTACTATAGTCATCATCATCATTGTTATTATTATTATTATTATTATTATATTATTATTAATATTAGTAGTAGTATTATGAAACAAACATTTAAAGAAACTTGCAAAAGGATAAAAACGAAATTGAACCACAGTAT